CCCCTTATCAGATAAAGTTTGGGGCAGCGTCCTGCAGAATTTCCATTACATCTCTCATTTTTAAAACAGACTTTGAGACTTTGAACTTATTTGCACACTTTTTTTGGTGGAGCAGTCCCATTTGGCGCTTCTTGTTCATATTTGTACGTCTTCCGTCGAACAAGCAGGCTGGAAAACCCGCCGGGAATCGTACGATTCTCGGCGAGTTAGTGGCCTGCTTGTCCGACAACTGCCAAATGGGCCGGTGTGGGCACGCGCACACTGCCCGTTTGCAGTCATCGGAAGCCCGCCCCTCATTGCAATGATCGCAAGTACGGTTTGCCTGTCCAAGATGGGCAGATCGTACGTTTTTTAAATTATTTTACAACCCTCGCAAGACAAAAGTCTTGCGAGGGCTGTGAAGTGTATGGCCACCTTAAGGCCGAGTAAGGCAGAAATGCGTCAGCGGTTGTGCTTTGTACAGATGCATGTGGAATAAAGTTGAATTTCTTTGGAAGATTATCGTGTGCTGGTTCCACAGTTTTTGAGACAAAAACCTGGGCAGGGTTTCAACACTTCCCCCCCCTCCACCCAAAACGTTTTTGATATACTTTAAGGGTCCATTCACACCACATGTGTTGCGGCTGGACTGGCTGTTGTTTCCAGCGCAGCCCCAACACAAGGCAAGGTAATTCGCCTCGTCACGGATGACACCCTTCACACCACCGCATTGCGTTGGGAACGTGGTGGTGTGTGCTGATAAAAGTATGGCATGCCTTACTTTTTTAAGTGCAGCGGGATGCAACAGAGAACAACCGTCTCGCACCCTGTTATGTCCATAGAACTGAATGAAATGTCACTTGTGGCATTTCAATAAAGTTCTAAGAAAGAAAAAAAAACACTACACAGTGCAATACGCCATAATTGGCGCATCGGCACTGTGTCTGACATCGCACACCAGCCACTGTGCGTTTAGCATGTAAATGGACCCTAACAAATGCTCTATAACTGACCCTTTTACTTTGACATTTTGAAACACTGTTATGAAGATATTCAATGAATCTTTTTATTCAAAGTACGTGGGAACAAAATTACCAACATGGAAGCCAAAACAGAGTGACTCATAGATCTA